CAAGAGATGTTGTCACTTTCTAAATGTAAAATTATTTAAAATTTTTACGATAATAAAGAGATAATGTTTACCTACTTTAAAAAAAAAAAAGAAATAGAACCAAATAATAAAAAATTTTTTATTTTTTTATTTATTGCTTTATATATGTTAATTTAATTTAATTTTCTTTTTTTGTTTCTATTTAAATATAAAATAGAATAAATCTAAAATTAGTTTTGATTTGAACTGAAATCAAACTGATCTAAATTTTATCAAACAAAAATTTTAAAAACCAAACCAATCTGAACTGAAATCAATTGACAGATTAATTGGTTTCAGTTTAAAACTTTGATTCCTAATAAAAAATATTGTTGTACAATTTAATTAAATAAAAAAAACAATAAATTCAAAATTATTATTATTTTATTTTATTTGCAAGAAAGATATTTTTTGGAATAGAACACAATACTAATATTAATTGTATTTGTTTTTAAAGAATTTTTTGTTAAATAATCATTTTTGCCAAGTACTATAGATAATTGATCACAATGTTTTAAGTTATTTTTAGTTAATAAAATAATTATAATAATAATTGTTATTATTAAGAAATTGGTTAGGAATTTTATCTATTAATTTAATTTCCAATCATTAATTAACACCAAAAATTTTTTTTCGGCTTTCATGCTTCGTTTTCCTTATAATAATATTACTATTCACTTTTCTTTTACCGTAATTTTTCTATCATCACTATTCCATCATTTCTACATTAATCTCATAAAAATGTTTAATATGCCTTGCTTATCTCCATTCGATGTCACTTATTCTAAAGGAAGAAGAGAATTTAGTGTGAAATCGAATCATTCGAGTTGTGTAAAGTCACGAAACCAACTTCTCAATACAGTAAATGCCGAGAAAAACAAATTCATTTGAAATTCATTTGTAAGAGTATTACGATTGTTCTTTTTTGAGGAATGATAAAAGTTATTTCCACAATTATTTATAGAAAAAAAGTTCCATCACCTGGGCGAGAGATGAAGTTCTATGAGATAATAAATACGTCAAATATTAAAAGCAAAGTCCAAATAAATGCTCAAAAAATTAATCTATGTAAGTGTATATGTATATGTAAATGATGTGTTATGGAATCACATAATGCAAGTTAAGCATCCATCAACCAAAGTTCTTTAAACCACAAAATATCCAATGTCTCCTTTCTGATCAAAAATTAGTTATGTAAATATAACATACGGTGAAAACAACTTCATTGAAATTATAACGAAACATAAAATTACTAAATTTTCTTATAAATCATCCGAGTATTTTTTGCCCAAAATTCTTCCCGGAAAGAATTGAGCGAAGTGTATGAAGATGAATGATTCGTCGGGGAGGGATTAATGGAATGGAATATAAACAATTACTCAACTCGAATAAGGTGTCCGATACAAAATTGATGTTAATGTAACATACAAACACAGATGTCTGGAATTAAAATAAAACAAGTGAGCATATATATCCAGTCAAACCAATGGGGATTCATCAAAGAAACTTACTAAATAAACGAAAACCTTAAGATATAACACAATCCTCTTTGTTTGCCTGCGCTCTTGTATGTTTTGCAGGTTTTACTCGACTCTGACTCCCAAGTTTCTTTAATTCTGTTAATCTTTGCATCGATTTTTTATTACCTTGTGCTAATAACGTATGTCCCAATTGAAAGAAATTAAAAACGATCATCTGACAACGATAAGTGAATGAATTATACAGAAATAAGTAATACCGGCTGCGCGCATGTACCAACGTCTTGCTTCTTCAATATCCTGTTTCACACCAATACCAACTTCGGAATAGTAGCCAATGGCATATTCGGCCTTTGCAAAACCTTTGTCAGCTGCCTTGCGTGCCCACAAATATGCTTCAGCATCAGATTGCTTCAATATGACCTCCGAACCCGTTAAATACCAGCCCGACAACGCCAACTCCGCTTCAGGATGACCTTTTTCAGCGGCCTTTGAATAATATTTGATGGACTGTCGCGGATCAACAGGACATCCTAACTGACCATATTCATAGCAAGTACCTAGTTTATAACAAGAAGGGGCATATCCTAAATCAGCGGCGCGCTTAAATTCTTCAATAGCATGTTTCTCATTTCTAATTAGAGAAGGAATTTCAGGCGGCTCTTTTTCCGGTTTGGCATGTAATAACCCTAGTTCATGCAGGGCGTGTGGGTTTTCCTCATCGGCATTAGCCGCCGCACGTTTAAGCCATATGATAGCTTCACGGGGATTTGGATTTTGTGCTAACAGTCCTTTCAGCATAATCATACCAAGTTTGTACATGGCGGCAGTGTCACCTAACGCGGCAGCTTTTTTGTAAAATTGCGTGGCGCGATGTGGGTCTCGTTTTGTTCCAGCTCCCACCTCATAACATACCGAAGTACGATACGTAGCAGCAGCGTGATTCTGTTTCGATGCTTGCATATATAGGTTGAATGCTTTGTCGGGATCGACTGGTAATCCCAAAGAACCATTACTATAACAATTTGCGAGATAAAATTGAGCTTCCGGGTATGCTGGTCGGCCAAAGCCCATTCCTTGAGCTAGTCGCTTTACCAATTTAATTGCCTCCTGTAACAGAGCTTCTTTCCTCTTTTTTGCATTTTTCGGGTCAGGATCATTTTCTTCCGTCTCGGCTGCAGCTTCGACCAAGTATTTTGCGAAAGCAAATAAAGTAGCAGGATTTCCACTTGCTTTAGCTCTCGCTCGATATTTCTCTATGGCATCTGGAGCATAAGAAGGTTTCTCTTTAGGAGCAGATTCTTGTTTTGCTTTTTCGTTCTGTGAATCTGTCCTCATTGGTAGACTAGATTGACCCGTTTGTTGCTGGTCATAATACATTGGGGCACCGTACCCATCCTGCGGATGTGCTTGTGGTGGATAATAATTTGGATCGTAATTTGGATCGTAATTCGGATCGTAATACTGTTGTTGATCGTAATAGTATTGAGGTGGTCCTTCACCACCATAATATCCTTCGCCGGGTGGGTATTCCTGTTGATACTGATCATATCCGTATCCGGCTTGCTGATAATCGTAGGCTCCTTGATCATAAGCATACTGTTGATGAGGATAATCCTCAGGGTATCCTGTAGCCGGATCATAATTTTGTCCGGCGGCATAATAATCTCGACCTTCTGGATTTTCGTATTGATTATAGTAATGCTGCCGGGCGTCAGCGCTTATAACTCCAGAGGAAGGATCAGCATCCTGAGGAGGATAATTATTATAGTAATCATCTTGGTAACCATAATCCTGATATTCTTGTTGTTGTGGGTAATGTGCCTGCTCTTGATGTTGTGGATATTGTGAAGGGGGTGCCCGCTGTTGCGGATATTGTGAAGGAGGCGCGTACTCTTGTTGTACTTGTGGATTCTGCGGAGGAGACGTAGGTCCTGGATGCTGTGGATGTCGTGAAGGGGGAACCTGCTCGGAATACTGTGGATGTTGTGGGTGTCGTGAAGGGGGAACCTGCTCGGAATATTGTGGATGTTGTGGGATTTTCTCTTGATAGGAATACTGAGAAGGCGAAGGAGAAGGTGCTCGCTCTTGAAGTGAACGCTGTAAAAGTGGCATTTTCTCTTGATGTGAATGTTGAGAGGGAGGTGGCAACCGTTCTTGGTGTGAATATTGTGAAACAGGAGATGTCTGCTCCTGATGGGAATATTGTGAATTGGAAGAAATCTTCTCTTGACTTGAATATTGCGAAGCAGGAGGCATTGGATCTTGGTATGAATATTGTGAATTGATGGGCATCTGCTCTTGATACCTTGGATACTGTGGAGCTTGTTCTTGTTGTCTTTGATATTGTGGGGCAGAAGGTAGGTGCTCTTGAGTGTTTGGACGAGGACGTGGGGAAGTACTTCTCTGTTGAGTAAACGGCGCTCTTAACCCGGACGAGGTTACTGGGGTTGAGCTTGAGCGAGGAGGTGGTAGCATTTGACGATCGTCATTGATTCTCATATTCCCCATACGTGCTATTGCACCGTCAACGTCTGGCCCGGGTGAACTTGTCAACTGTGATCCGTACTCTTCGTAACCTTGTTCGACATAACGTTGCTGTTTAAGAGGAGAGATTCGACGATCGTCGTAATATGAGTTCTGAGCTGACTGAGAACGACCGGTTGGTGCACTCATTTTACCAATCTATCTCCGAGAAATCCTTGTTCTAATACCTGTATTAGACAAAAAGAAAAGAAAAAGAAAGGGTGATATACAATGCATCTACATACACCTGGGTTTTTTTTTTTGCGTTACTCAAATGAAACCAATCAGACGACTCACGTCCTATTAGTCCTATTAACAAAATCGTTCTTTGGTCAGCATTTATATATTGACTGGATCAGGTTTCATGTTATTTAGCATTATGTCATGTGACGATAATTCTTACACAATCACGGAAATGATTGGCGGCAATAGATGATTCTTTAACTCAGTTTGCCCCTTACCATGTCAAAAACCTCATCTCCACCACAGTACGTTAAGCTTATAAGCTCAGACGGTTTCGAGTTCATCATCCAAAGGGAGGCAGCGATCATCTCGGGAACTATTGGCAATATGCTATCAAGACCCGGTGAGTTTTTTTGTCCACATTTTGAGGATTCAGTTATTTTTTTGGTGCGAGAATATTCTCATGACTTTACTTTCATCATCAAAGGACAATTCCTGGAATCCGAACGTAATCAAATTCGTTTTCGAGATATCAAGTATGGGATTTATTAACTTCCCAGCTGGTAAGAACCTTTCTTGTCCGCCGGTCGAAATCTCACCTTTATAATTTTTTCACTGCAGCGCCGTGATCTTGGAGAAAGTCTGCCAGTATTTGTATTATAAACTTCGGTACACTAATTCCGTGACCGAAATACCTCACTTTAATATTGATCCCATTTTATCACTGGAATTACTCATGGCAGCCGATTTTTCTGGATTGTTAGGAATTGTGAAATGAAGGTTTTCACGAATTTGAGCAATATGAGATGGAGTTGATGAAATCGAACTAAATTAAAAATAAAATTTGTCAGCGCCCGCCCAAAGATAATTTAATAAATCTCGATTAGTCTTGTATGAATATGAGGATGCTTTATTGATTTTACTCGTGTCCCAGGTTATATATATATGCTATTTTTCGACTTCCTAAAATCCTCAAATTTGATAATTATGTAATTATGTGTAAAATTGATCACATGATGACCTTCCTTATTTGTCATGTAATGCATGACGAACGCGAATGACGATATCCTACTGTAAATAACCATTGCTCTTTCAAGTTTTCTTAAGATTGAGATGCCAGCCGTTTCATATTCCTCCTGGGTGCGTCTGTTCGATGCCATATCTGAAGCTTACGAAGATCTCTTAGACTCTTCGGCCTGGCAACGAATGCTAGGCTGGTGTTTGGCACTGTTTCTTAATCTATTACTCATCCTGTCGAGAATAGGGGAAGGTCGTGAGAAACCGCCAGAATCGAACAAGGACATAAACGTTAGCCGCACAGAATTTTTCCTGCTGATTTTCAGTCTTTCTAACGCGTTTTATGTCTGGGTCAGGAAGAGAAGATATCACTTTTTTCAAAGGGATCATACGCAAAGACCAAAGGTTGCCAACGCAAGGTTGGTCGATATGAAGCTGCCTTACTTTGCTCAAAATAAAATTGGAGAATACCTGTAAGTTTTTCTTTAAGGCCTACCAATAATGCCAGCAATGCATAATTATTGTTACTTCATCCAGGATTCGAATATATTACGAATTTCTTTTTGATACACCATACCGAAGTCAATATGTTTGGCAAGTTAACGTTTGGAATCCTGATAATTTTGCACTTTGTCTACTTTGTGGGTTTTCACCGGTGCACGTTGGTATCCTAATTCTTATGAATCCACGAATTTGGACCTATTATGTTGGCGTAGTCGCATTCCTGTCCTTGCAGATGTACGCCAATGTTTACATGTTTTCGTCCCTGGTTTCTGATAGGCAGGCCATTTACGGAGAAGTTCAGAGAGAGTATGACGCCAAATTTGTCAGGCCAAGACTTTTTGTGGAGAAACAGAATGATTCCACGCAAACAAATTTAGACGATATTGACAACACGTGGCACTCGTTCGAATCGAAGCTGTACCCTGAAGGAATGAACAACCCTTGGGTAGGATCATCGTCTTCAGATTTACGCCAGGACACTTGAATTCATCCAGTATCATCATAATGGATTGTTACGTAAGAACGAGAGGGTCAATATATTCTACTCAACGGAAAGGTGGAAAAAATTTAATTTCACGCACAAGTATATTATTAATTAGTTTATATCTGTAATTTCCTCTTTATTAGGACATCAAGTAAGAACCTTTTAGGTTATGGAATTCGAATCAACAAAATTATATACTGATATAACATGATGTTTAACTTTCAGTGTTAACCAATCTTTACAAGAGAAACTCATTGAAAGATGACGCGAATATAGAATAAACCTTGGATAACCTTGGCCAGCACTAGAAGATTGATATATTAATATGAACAAACTTTAAATTTAGGGATGTTTCTTTACACCAATTTATTAGATAATTCAGGCGACTACATGATCTTATTTAACCTTTCTTTCACTCGTAAAGTAAACTATCCAAACGTTCACGTTTCCATTGTGTAACACCTCTGGGGAACCAGAGCTTTATCTCACTCTCGGCGTTCTGAACCGAATCCGAACTAAAATTTGATGGATAGAAGGAAGGTAGAAAAAAATTTATTATTTATTTAATCGAAATTCTGAAAAAGAAAAAAAAATAGGAATGTATACAAACCCGTGACAGAGGTTTTGACCCACTTTGAGAATAAAATGATGGAATGGATTAACTCATCGCGAAAACCAAACACAAGAAAAGAAAAGAAAAAAATGGATATCATGGTTTCATCTCACCATCAACACAGAAATCACCACGGATGGTACCAGGAGCAGATTCAAGGGGATTGGTTGCACCCAAAAGTAAGCGACCGGTCTTGACGACCTCTTTACCCTGCCAGACCATACCGACCACAGGTCCGGACTGCATGTCTAAATCATAAAAGCACGATCGAAAAAAAATAGAATCACTTGATGCGTGTGATATAAAGGAAAAATTTCTTAAAACATACAAGCTATAAGACGTGGGAAAAAAGATCGACCACTCAAATCTTTATAGTGTTCTTCCAAAATGGTTTTTTCGGCCTTCAAAAATTGAAAATTTATTAGAGGTTTTATTTATCAGAACTATCATGTCAAAAAAAAGATTCGTGCTAACCTTGAAGAGCTCTATGGCTACAAGTTGATAACCCTTGTTCTCGAAACGCTTGATAATCTCACCGACCAAACCACGCTCAACACCGTCGGGCTATGAATGTCAAATTCTTGGATTAAATTTATATATATAAGATGAATTCCATAAAAAATAGATAAGTTACCTTGACCATGATGTATGTACGTTCTGTGTATTCCGTGGATGCCATTGTGAAAAAAGTCAAACGGTGGAGAACAATGAGTTTTACTTGACTACTTTTAAATACACAATGAACGTTGTATGTAGATCTTTTTTTTTACACCTAATAGCCAATCACGTATCAGAAACCTAAGATCAGATTGTCTTTACCGCACTAAAAAGATGTCAGAGAAAAAAATCAACATTCTTATCGGAGCAACGGGGAGTGTTGCAAGTATCAAAATACCGAACCTGATACAGTCTTTATCAAAGGTAAAAATTAAGACGTATGCACCGAGTTATTTTCTACGATGTTCATTTTTCAACATTTAATTTAATGTAGTACGAAAATGTCGAAATCAAGGTGGTATCTACGGATAGGGCCCTACATTTCTTTGATCGAAGCTACATAACAAAGGAATTAGGGGTCGAGGTCATAACTGACAAGGACGAGTGGGAGGTCAGAGAAGCCACTGAAAATTTAAAAGGTCGAAAGAAAACACGGTTGGGTATGTCCAACTAAAATTGTGAATTGATAAACATTTAGGCTTGGAGCAAAGTGTCAGACCCAGTTTTGCACATTGAGGTAAGAGTTTTATTAAGTTTAACAATTTACACCGTTGATTGCTTTAAAGAGAAATTATCTGAAAAAATACATTCGTCCTATTCCAAGTATCGAAATTGGGCTGATATTTTCGTCATTGCTCCACTCGATGCAAATACTTTGGGAAAAATTGCCAACGGACTATGCGACAACCTAATCGTCAGTAAATTTTGTTTTGATTTTTAATATATATATATATATATATTCTCGTCAGACTAAATCACTACTCTACGAAATCAAAGACATGTATCTTGAGGGCATGGAATACGACACGCCCGGTGATCGTATGCCCAGCAATGAATACCTATATGTGGGAACATCCATTTACCCTAACTCACTTAAAGGTCTTGACGGATCAGTTGGGGTTTCAGGCTATCTCACCCGTGAGCAAGAAATTGGCGTGTGGCGATATAGGTAGGAGTCGTCGAGGCAATAGAAATAATAAAGAAATGAAAATGGATTCCTCGCATATTAACTTTATTGTTAAAACATCTTACGTGGGAATTAGGTGTTGGTGCAATGGCGGAAGTAACAACGATTGTAGAATTCATGGCTCAAAAATTATCCTTAAAATCTAATTGAATTTGACAAATAAAATTGATCAGACAGTCTATTTGCCTATTAATTTATCAATTTTAATGTAAACATCTTAATAACATTTCGCATTGAAAAAAATTTAAAGTTCTGTCCCTAATTACTACTGTAATGAGTTCTTCGCATTGTTATTTTTTCCTAATTTGAATTCGTTTTGTTGCATATATGAGCCTGATAAATTTAAGCCCCACGATGATCATGATATTTTTAAAGGTGAATCGCATGTCGTTGAATATTTCGGCTCCTTAGCTTTACTTGTGACCCGTGGCTTTACTTTTCGATTCTATGAACGCACGGAATACCACGAATGCATAAGGGGTCTTATGAATGTGAACAGTGATCGCCCTCTCGCAGCTTTTTTACCCCTTTATTTTTTATTATCACTAACTAAATTTGATGAAATCGCTTTTGCGTAGTGTTCGATGACCGTCTACGCGGTGTTTGCATAAGGGTACATGGATTTTTCCCTTTTTTTTTTTTAGAAAAAAACCAACTCCCGGAGTTGCAAACAAGTTCTCCCATGCAAACATTTTCTTTCCCCCTAAAAATTTTGTCTCGATGAGATTATTATAAAAGACCAAAAGAATACAATTTTCATCTTTTTTTTTTTTCGCCTGTTTTCTAATTCCCCAACTTATTTCGTGTCTTAAGAAATTATACCGTTTCCTTCTTCCTTTTACGTCTTCTTACTGCTTCGAAGCTTCCTTTTTTGGTAAGGCATCTATCCCTTTACATAAGAGCTTAATTCACGTGTTCCTTAAGGAAAACTAATAAATTGAATCTTGAAAAAAAAAATTTTTTTCCCAACTCCTACAGTCAACATGTCAAGCGGTGTCGAAGAAACAACTAAAAAAACCAGGTGAGTTGAAAGTTTTGACGGTTCAGGGATAAATCGTTTTTTTTTTTTCTAAAGTATTCTAAAGTACACGTTCTAAACGAAACAGCGTGGTCGTGAAGGTTGGAATGGTTGGCGATTCTCAGATAGGGAAGACGAGCTTGATGGTCAAATATGTCGAAGGTTCTTTTGACGAAGATTACATTCAGACACTAGGTAACCGATGGAATCCAACTGGAATTGTCGTACCTAACATCGATGTGCTGATTTTTGTGTCAACTTTCTCCCTCCAGGTGTTAATTTCATGGAGAAAACCATTTCCATAAGGAATACGGAGATAACATTTAGTATATGGGATCTTGGGGGTACGTTGCTGGTTAATGATTTTTTTTTTCGTGGACGGTACCATCAAATCAAAATGTCTTATTTATGTGTCATTGTCAACAGGTCAACGCGAATTTGTAAATATGCTTCCGTTAGTATGCAATGACGCTGTCGCCATCCTCTTTATGTTTGATCTATCGCGAAAGTCCACGTTAAACAGCATCAAAGAATGGTACCGTCAAGCACGAGGATTTAATAAGGTAGATCTCGTTTTTTATTTTATTTTTTCCTATTAATCACGAGTAGCCTGAATCATCGAATTAAAATTCGCAATCTTTTGCTACACGAAAGACGGCCATTCCATTTCTCATTGGAACAAAATATGATCAGTTTGCTAATTTTCCCAAGGAAGAGCAAGAAGAAATCACAAAACAGGTAAATTTTTGGGACAACATAATTTAATATGTTTTTAAAATTTCTGACTCCATCCACGTTTAACTGTCTAAAAAGGCTCGACGCTTCGCACGGGCAATGAAGGCCTCCTTAGTTTTTTGTTCTACATCTCATTCTATCAACGTGCAAAAGATATTTAAGATTGTCCTCTCTAAAGCGTTCGATCTCAAATGTACGATCCCGGAAATCAAGGAGGTTGGGGCTCCTATACTAGAGTATATAATACGCTATCCTGAACAATAGGATGTCCATCAAGCGTTGACTCCAAGTCTTCGCGTGTGAATATTTTATCATATTATAAATAGCTCCCGTGAGGGCTCATAAATTTTATATATAGTACATGTAGTCACTTTCTCGGGGGTATAATGGTGGTGATCTCTTAATGTCTATAAATAGTAATTGTAGTTTATTTATTTTTTTTTTTACTTTGCCATTGCTTATTTATAAATAGTATCTCCTCGACTTCTCGACATTGTATTTACACATAATTCATCTTTTCGATAGTACTTTGTAATTTTATACGATTTCATTGATAAATGCTAATTATTTTGCCTGGTAACGCGAGTCATCTCGTTAACTCCCACGCTTATCCTTTGTCAAGTGTTTGAATCAAGAACGCGTCCAGTAACGCGGCATTGAAAAGTAAGAACCATGCAGTACCCCTTAATGTATAATCTTTACATTTTTTGTTAGTGCCCAACGTAATTTTTTCATGTTTCACAGGATGCAATAACATATAACCACCGTGACCTCCCCCCCTAGCTTTTGATTTCTTTTAATCCCTTTAAAAAGGTGTAAAGTAAATATCCTTATCAATTTACCATATTTGGCAATACAGCCTAACTCACGTTAAATCAACAAGTTATTCATTATGCATTTTATTACGTCTATATGATTATACATTCCTTGCTATTGTGTTGTTTAAATATTGTGCCTTTTATTACGTTGCGTTGCCTTTATTACTGTACATGCTGATGCACGTGAATCAATGGATGTTCTATATATTGTACCATGTTTCTTATTATTATTATTATTATTAGCAAAACATTATCTAGATATTATCTACTTCTAAATAATGGAAATATAATATACAGTATATGTACTGTATATACAGTATTATTTCGAATAAATACAAAGATTAAAAAATAAATTAAAATATCTATGGTATCTGCAATTAGAAATAATGATGTTTTACAAATAAGTGATTCAAGCTTGATTCTAAAACACCATTCTATCAATTCTTGATTTCAAAATTTGAAGCATTAAAATCAAATGAAACCAATAATTTGCTCAATAAACCTAAACGTTACACGAATTTTATAAATAATACAAATCAAATTTGATTTGAGTTAAACTTGAATATATTTTTCTTTTTCTTTTCATTTAAATAATATCTTAGATAAAAAAATTTTTTATGAAAATAATAACTTTTTTAATAACTTTTTTTTTTTTAGGTAAACATCATTTCTTTATTTATTTGTATAATAATAGATATATATTGTGAAAGAAACAATGAGTTAAATGCTAGCTTGCCTACAGTAATCACTAAACTAATATTGAAAAGAAATTTTAAAACAATATATCTCATCGAGCAGCTCTAAGCAGCTAATAATTACCTACTCAGCATTGGGTGAAAGAAAGTTAGAAAGATCTGAAATTAGTTTGGAAATACATTTAGTGAAGTTGAATTCACTTTGGATATATGAGTCAGCTATAATGGTGGATTTTTTTAATAACTTTTTCAAAAATAAAAATAAAAATTTATATATGTAATAAAATAATTAATCTTTTATAATATAGATTTATAAATAATTAAATTGAAAACTATTATTACCTTTAAACCTTGAATTAGAAATTTGATATAAAAATATTTTAAAAAAAATTTACTTAATATATCATATTACAATATTTATAAAAGGTATTTTAATAAATATGAATTAATAACAAATATTATTTCCTAAGAAAACATTTAACAAATATTATTTAAAAACATTTACAAAAAAATCAAAAATCTTTTCTTTTAATAAGTATCAATAAGATAAATATAATATATTTTTTATTTAATAGTTAATTTGTAACTTATTGTAATAGATAATTATTATTTTAAAACATTTACTAATTTTTTATATTTATATTATATTATTTTTAATTGATCTTATATTAAAGATAAATATAAATCAAATTTGACTTATATTAAAAATTATTATTTTGATTTAATTAATAATTAATAAATTTGTAAATTAAATGTTAAAATTATTAATAAATTTTATTAAATTTCAAAAAAATATTTATTAATGATTGATATATGAATTTTGATTATAAATAGAAAAACCTTTAAAAATTATTAATTATATAGATTTTAATTAATATATTTATGATTCTTTTTTTGATATTATCTTTTTTAAAATCAATTATTTGAAAATTAGTTATTTAAAAATAAATATTACAAAAAAATAATAATAATTTTAAATTATTGCATTTATAACAAATAATATATTTGCAATACTAGTTTATAAAAAAAATTATTTCATATCTTAATAACAAATTTTTATCACTTATTTTTTTATATTATTATTATTTAATATATACGGTAGCTCACAAAAATAACCGATCACTAAAATAAATAATGTTAAATATAAATAAGTTAAATAATAATT